TTGCTTAATTTGAATAAAATATTAAAACTACGTGTATATCTTAATGAAACAGTATGGAACATACGATAGTAAATCAAGAGCTTCTTCATCGAACGAAAACAAGATGAGATTATGTTTACTTTTCGAGGTTAAATTTATATGCAAGTTTATGCACGTAAATATCTTTCCAGAATGGTCGTTGACCTATTACTTTTTTGTGATTATAAAAATCGTAATTTTTTAATCTATTATAATCTCGTTTTTAAGAAAAGTCTATGGTAAAATTTGTGTGCAGTTAGTCAAAGAAGCTCTGCGAGCCTTATCTGTCACTAAATTATACGTGAGAAGTTATATTTTCAACATTTATTTTCTCTCTTATTTCATCGTTAATCTACCGTAGAATTTGGCACACGTCAATTTCGGTACTTCGACTTCATTATATAAAAAAATTAGACATTTCTATGGTAATTCAATTTACTAAAGAACTACTTCAAATAAACAATAATAAATTATTTATTAAGACCGTATATGTGAATAGTGAATACTCAACAAGTAAGAGTTTAATGCCTATTACAGTCGAAGCTGAATCTTAGATCCTTTTTCTTTTAAATAATTTCTATGTGAATTTATATACTAAATATGTAGTCATTTGAAGCACGCTGAAATGATTTTTCGAACTTAGAAACGCAATTATACTACTATAGGAATGTCACAAATTAAATTGATAAGTAATTTAATAATTTGGTGCCAATCTGGTATCCCAGAAAGATGTTAATGTAAGGTAATATACCAGTTGGGGGAATACCACTCGTTGTGTTTAACAATGATACCAATTAGCAGCGCTTGCGTTAGTGACACAGAATTATTTACAATTGTGTGCTTAAGGTGTTGCATAAGTATCAAGAATTTCCTCGCAATAGTATTATTTTTATGAGGTAAATATGACGGCATGGTATACGAAAATGTACGAGGTGTGATCAAAAAGTAAGGTGACTTTTTGAATTTCGCGCGCTCTGTAGACTCTAATTTCAAAATTTTTTTTTTGTTGTGTTGGTACACTCGTCACGATCATATGTTCACAGTTTTGACTATATAGCATGTGTTGTTTTTATGTGAGAGGCATAAAGGTTAGACTCGTGTTTGCGTGCTCGGCGATTTTTTGCTGTTGA